GGGGGGGGGGCGGGTCTAAGTAAGTGGCCTGCTATTAATCTATTATTTAATTTATAGACATTGGCCCTAGTTACAGTACCCTCGACATTGTCTGGTCGGAATCCTCTAACCACTAGACATGACAACTATTGAGCTACAAGACCTAATAGCCCAGGACTTTCGGTAAGAAAGGAAAGAGAGGAGGAAAAAAGGGAACGCCGAATGATGTTCATTCCTTGTTTCTTCAGACAAACTTATCTGTTAACTAGTTAGTATAACTCGAAGGATGCCAAGTGTAAGTCATTTTCCTCTCCTACACTGTTTTCCTTCCTCATTTTCAGAGGATTTGATTTTGTAGAGTAGCGAAAAACAACCACAGCACAAAGATTTAGCCCACCAAACAATCATGGAAAGTGAATTGAAATTTTCACAACTTCATCAAATGTCAATTTCTTTATGTGATAACTTCTAGTTCTAGTGAATCAATGCATAATAATGCATGAGGATAGTTTTAATGTTTTTTGTATCTCGAATTTGGCTGTAAATTTAGTTCTTGTAAGTAAAGGATATTAACAATAATAAACTGACATTTTGCTGGCCAAGCCAACTATTTTTTTGTTTTTTGAATAAATTGATATTGAATATTGCGCTATAACATGCATTTTTGGATCATGGGAAAGTTGTGGCTGATTGAGATTAAAATCAATTAACAGCTCTCAGTTCTTCCTGTTTCCAAATTGCACGCATTCATTTAATTATAGAGTAGCATTGCTATATATTCTCTCCAATGAGATACATTTCTTGTAATTTTGACGTCTTCTAAAATGGTATTATTTCTTCATTAGTTACAAGTTCAACTCCTGTGATAACCAAGTGATAAAAGATGGGATAGTTTTTACTATTAAGACATTAAAAAAGCTAGGATAGCTTAGTTCACTTACACATTAGCCTTCGGCGGCTGTCTGGGATCATACGAGAGATCAACTAGTGTCTAGAACACTTATTCAATATGATAAAAGGTAGAGCTAGCTAAAACAGCTTAGCCCAAAATGATTTATTTATTTATTTAGTCTTCTTGGCAATGAACAGGCCCCATGGCTTCTAGCCGAATGAACTCCTGATCAGCTTTACCCTTCCAGCTGCTAGAGAATAATCTTGTCGCGCACCATTCATTTGCCACTCTCAATCCAGCTCAACCACGACACTACAAGCTATAGAATTTGATTCAAATTTGTGAGGAACAGATTCGGTAATTCACTCTTACATTGGTAAAGGAAACTGATTAACTAATTGGTTGTGTTAACCCAGGGACGCTACGGATTGTTTAACCTCTTATTTCAATTAATTAGAAGTAAACCAAAGCATCGGCAAGCATGGGATTACTGATGAGCAAGTGAAAAAGAAAAAGGCGCTAAATATTTAGATTCTACATTTTTTAGCTGATTTAGGCACCCTTTTTTTTATATAAAAAAAAATGATGTAATGTATATTGGGGCAGTTCAAGTTTTACACTTCTCAAGTCAAATTTACTAGCTAACAAAACTTCCAAGTAACAAAATCCACCGACCCTTCAATTGTGCCCACGTTCACAAGCCAGCACCCTTCAGTTTTCTGAGCTTTTCAGCTTCTTCTTCCGCTCCTTCAGCTTGCTAATGCGAGCAGTGTTCCGTTCCTTTCTTTTCTGAAAAAATAATGGGAAGAAATACATCAATGAACAAGACTTCATATTTCTCATGTCATCTTGTAAGATAAATGCAGATAGCATGTGAAGACTTGAAAAATAGAAGTTTCTCCTACAAAACAAAGTTCCTTAACCAACTGACATTTTCAAATGCCTATTAACTATTAAATCATTCTCCCACCTTATAACAGTACTCATCCAATAGTAAGTTTGTTTGAAACAGCAGACCTTTAAAGTGAAGGAAACGAGGATCACAAAAAAAGCCATTCAGAGAAACATGAATCCAGAGAATGTCCACCAGACCAAAGAAAAATAGCACGACCAGGAAAAAAAAAAAACTTGACATACAGAAAATCCAAAATAGCAATCTTATTATAAATGTCAACTATAGGAGAATTCAATCACAAGAATGCTACAAGGAACTCAATGATCACCATGGTGCCAGAAGTTTTGCCACTGGCCACAATGATCTAGAGTAAACAAATGTATTCTCTAATAGTAAAATCAAGATCAAAGCTTGAATGATAGACTGCAATTGATAATTAAAAAAAAATAATGCATGCCAAGGAGCAGAGAAAAGTGCTAATTTGCAACCCAACTGAATCTTAGAAACGTAGTTTATACTAATCAGATATAAACGTTTTTTGCATGTGTTTTATTAATTGACCACAATAAAATATTCCCAGAACTGAAAGATTGGCATTTCCAATGTCCAAACCCAAATTACATTTACATTCTAAGAACACTTCGCCAATCAACATTGAAATTTTCCATCTTATTTTGTCATTTTGTACTGTCACCTACAAAACTTTAATGTCTTCCAGTGTCTCTCTTTTTCCCATGCTCTTAAATTATCTTAGATTTAGACCTTATTTTTTCTGTCAAATGCATCAACATTTAGTTACAAAATTTTGACTCTAAGAGTTGATGTGCTCCTATCACAAGACTGGTCATCATTTGTTTAGAGAATGTGTAGCTTCAACGTTCCAAGTTTTGCAATTTTTTTCCTTAATTTTCCAATCTTCTGTCAAGTTTAATTATTTTACTAGTGAAACTTCAAATTATATTTACTGGCTTTATATGCATATAAGAGGGTGGTTCATCAAGTTACAATCTTCAGTAATGTGATTCATCATTGAATGACACCAAGAAAAAATTCTTGGCTGCACCATAAAAGGCTACCTCAAGAAATAACTAGAGTAGAACAGGTGATAAACCAAAGTTACCTCAATAGCTTCCAGAAGGCCCCTCTTTTTACGTGACATCCCTAATTTTGACATTGTGTCAATGTCCTCGGCAATCTGTTTCGGATCAGGGACAGACTCTTCACTAGCCTTTGCATCCTCTTCAGAGCCCTGCTTGCTTTTCTTCATGACTGCACCCTGAAGTTCCCTTTGTAGCTCTTCATGGTACTGCTTCTCAAGAGTCGCCATCTGCCATTCAAAATGGGGTCATGTCAAATGCCATGCAGTGCAAAAGGACATGTGCTAATGGAGGGGGAAGGGGTAAGAGAGAATAAAACTGGATCGCAAATAGCATTCAATCAGAAAAATGAAAAACAGCAACCAAATGTGAATACAACACTTTCTAACTAAAATTTCCTGCTGTGCAAGTTCCTCCAGCCTAATATGTGGCAGACTTTTATGCTGCCAGGTATTAGATGTCATTAATAAATTAAATACAACTATTCTCCGCAATAATATTGTAAGAAGCCTTAAAAAACAATGGTAGGGCTTTTCCTCTCTTCTCACCATTTCATAACACAAGAAAAGTAGAAAACTCCAACTTCCAATACTCCACAAAATGGAAAACTTGAATTTCTCTTCGACAAACTATAGCGGGGTGCTTCATGTCTCACAACAACACAATTGAAATCAAATACTCCAGATTTTGTCGATTAAAAGCACCAAATAATAAGTTCCAATTTTCCACCACAAACAAATGCCAGGCATGATGATTAGTAGACCCATTAATCTATGTCTATCTAATGACAAATTGATAAATTCATCAGAAAAAACATTACTATCTCTTATATCAAGAAAATGGTATTGTACCAAGAACCCTTGTTTTGAAAGCCCACTTGAAAGTAAGATTGACAAGTATGTCACCTCTGATATTTCATACCAAAAACTCACAAACAACTAAGTGCACAAGCAAGTTGCCCTGCTCTATTATGGGCAATCAATTTCTTAACCATGTCTAGCACAGATTGTTTTATAGAAATGGTGCTAGGGGTGGTTCCTTCAAGACATAAAGGAATAAGTTACGGTATCACTATATCATTCACGTTATAAATAAAATAGGAATCATAAGATGCTTCCACACACCAGCTGACAACAGATCCAACACCAATTGAACCTGGAATGTAGATTTTTGGCACATTTAAGGAAGCAGGAAATCTTTCCTCCTTGATACACTATCAAAGTTGTCCACTGGGCGGCTACTTCAACTATTCAACAACATACATACCTTTTTCTTTGTCTTCACAGCCTCATTAGCCTCTGCTCGACTAATATAACCTTCAACCAACAAATTTTGAGGATCATCTAAATCTTCTTTTCCTACTCCAGGCATGGGAAGGACTTCATTTTTGGCAGCAGCCTGCAAGCGTTTGATAGTCTCTGCATAATCAGGAATATAGCCTTCTGCATCATTATCAACAAAAGGTGACAGATGCGGGGGAGGAATCCTGTTAGCAGAACAATCACGTCAAAAAAAAGTCATAATTTTTACATTAAAAGCAGAGACTAAGCATCAATCCCTTATAAATGCAATCTATAATTGAAGATTCGTGTCTTCAGTAGCAACAAATGTGGATGCCTGCAATAAGTTTTATTTGTGACATGATAGCCATGCAATCAATATTACAGAACATAGCAACTGAATGCTGCTTGTCACTCTATAATAGTGCATAAGATCAAATAATAGGGAAGTGGACACACTTAAACAAAGGAAAAGGATTTCAGACTGTTTTTCCCTTGTTTAAGTGGAGACTGTTTTTCCCTTGTTTACATGGTTAAACAAGGGAAAAGAAGTGATCCTCGTGAAATATGATATCCACGCAATCAATATTGCAGAACATAGGAACTGAATGCTGTTTGTCGCTCTATAATAGTGCATAAGATCAAATAATAGGGAAGTGAACACACTTAAACAAAGAAAGAGCATTTCAGACTGTTTTTCCAAAAATTACCTTCCCACCATATAAGCTTCAGTTGGCAATATGATCCGTGCATTAATGCAATCGTAAATCCACTGTGGCTGAACATATTCTCTTGAAAGGTATTTATGACCTTGGGTTGGCCTATCAACAATCTTTAATAAAGAAAACACTGAAATTAGGAACTTGAAACTCGTCCATAAAACATTGAAGTGAAAGTATGCATGCATGAACATGGATGCTTCTAAGCATTAGCAACGGGTAGGCATTGCCATGTGCATGTGCTAGTGTTGTAAGTGTATGTGGCACACTGAAATTAGGAACTTGAAACTCGTCCATAAAACATTGAAGTGAAAGTATGCATGCATGAACATGGATGCTTCTAAGCATTAGCAACGGGTAGGCATTGCCATGTGCATGTGCTAGTGTTGTAAGTGTATGTGGCACCCTTGGTTTAGGAAAAAATAACAAACCTGATGAGTAATGCTCTGGTCAGATTCCTTATATGGAGCAGCTTCCCCGTCCCAAGAAACAACCCCACCAAAAGCAGGAATTACAAAGAGCATTGATTCTCTAGGAACCTGAAAATAGAAACAATTGATATGCCATGAGCACAAGACCCAGGGATTATCATAATACCAATCCATTTGAATGAAGAAACAGTAAGCAACAATCACACGATGAAGGAATTATCATTCAGATCTGTATAAACAACCTCATACATGGCCAAACTATCATGATTAAGTAAATATGTTTCCACAAAACAATGTCTGTTCCTTGACACCTAGGTTCCACAACTTAAAAAAATATGTAAATGTACACCCGTGTTTTACAGGAATAGCCATCCTCCGCTGTTTATTTAACATGACCTAGAACAAAAGTGAAACAAAATAAAAGGTATATGATGTAATAACTGGTTGATATTTTAAAACAGAAACTTAAGAACTGCATTTGAGCAAAGATTTGAGTGCTTAGCAATTATACACTGTAAACAGATGGAGAGCCTAGATTTGAGCAAGGACAATCAGAGTATTAAAATTAGCATTGTTAAGCGAGCGTTGGGAAACGCAGGCCAACCCACGTTTTTAAAAAATTCAAAAATAATTTTTTTGTATATTATAGATCATTTGGATACACTGAACTCAAAAATGATTTTTAAAAAATGAAAAAACATCATTTTGATGCATTTCGGCATGAAAAGCACTTGAAAAAGCAACTACAACCACTCCCAAACAGGCTCTAAAACTGACAAATGAAGCACGGAAGAAAACATAAGAATCCTAGACCACAAAAAGAAACATGTATGTTCTGAAAATAGGACATTACAAAATGCTGCCCCTCAAAAATAAAACATAGTATTATAATAGCAATGAACAATCCATCTCACCTCGCGACCCAAGAAGAATTTCATATTCTTAAAGAGCCTCCTGCACTCCTTTGTATCTTGATCATCTTCATGTTCACACTCAGCATTTTCCATCAGGTGCATCAATGCACCAGGTTCGTTGGAAGGAAGTTGATGCTGAAGTTGAGCAAGCCTTAGTTCAGACTCATCAGCCTGCATCTCCTTCTCCTGAGCCTCTAATTGCTGTGATGTAGATGAACTAGCAGCTTCGGGTTCCAAGGTGGAGGTTCTGGAGTTGGAAACAATGTATCTTGACAGCGCATAGAGATCTGCAGAATCAATAGCAGTTCATGATATGTTAAGTACACAAAAGGAACAGAAGCCATAGAGCATGGCATGCAAAAAAACATTATTAACAGATAAATAACACAAAATTGGCATCGCGTAACAGAACATGGAAATTTCTCCCTACATGAAAAGGCAAGGCATACCTGATGCTAAAGCTTCCAGCTGGGGATCAAGAATGGGTGGATACTTCACATTTATGGAATGATAGAGCCTAAAATTGACAAATCCAAGGAGAGTCTGCACCCAAATAAATAATAAGTAATCGCACAAAAAGATGGCAAGCTAAGAAAATGCAATGCTATCCACAAAACAGTACTAAGTTAAATCATCAGCTAATTTCCAAAGGTTGAGACATCAAAGGTTGATCAACAATGGGATTTAGCTTGTCTCTTATTCCCAGCTTAGTGGGCACCTTCAGCTTCTTTGGTTTATGAGACAGCCATCATAAGGGGGGGTACAAGGTTGTTACTTATAAAATGTTTTCATTGATTTCACAAGCTGAGCAATGAAAATGTGACTTTAGCTAGCCAAAACTTTTAACCTTTCTTGCTGTATGAAAAAACCATGTGAAAAAGCGAATGCATCCTTATTCCCAGAGGGTTTCAGTTGATGTTCTTTTTGTTTCAATAAGCTTATTTAATGTCATATTAATCCTCCTATTGATATGGGCACCTTCAGCTTCTAATGTTTTCATTAATTTCACAAGCTGAGCCATGAAAATGGGACTTTAGCTAGCCAAAACTTTTAACCTTTCTTGCTGTATGAAAAAACATGTGAAAAAGAAAATTCATCCTTATCCACGGAGGGTTTCAGTTGATGTTCTCTTTGTTTCAATAAGCTTATTTAATGTCATATTAATCCTCCTATTGATATGGTCTAAAGTTAACAAACAAAGGATACCAAATGCAAAACAATCAAGGAGACAAAATATAAAATAGAAATTAGTGAAACCCTGCATTCATAAAACTCTCACCTCATAAAACTCCAAAAAGGTTAACATAACACTGAAGTTGACATCATCTGGCAAAACTTGTTGCATTGCATGAGGAGTTAACCAAGTGATCTTTTGACCCTCAATCTCAGCCTACAAAGCTTACAAGAACAACTAGTAAGGAGGACATGATGCACAATCACAGATTCATCAAAACGACAAGAAGAATCTTGTTTACCTGATAATATATGCCCTTTACGGAAATGAAAACCTTCCTCAATTTATAAGTACGGGAAACATAAGCTTGCCATTCATGACTCAATCTAGCGAAAAAAGAAGATTGAAAATCAGATTGAAACATGCATGAACTGTGAATACAATGATGGAGTATTCTTTTAATGGGTATCCAATAAAATTATAAACTCAGACCTCTGAATTCCTACCTAATCGTTTAAAAAACGAAAAAAAGGGGGCAAATATTACCTCCTACAATTATGTATGAGTTCCACATCAATTTTTGCCCTCTCTACAGCAGGTAATGCTGCAAAAAGATGCACCATGGTTAAACAATCATCCAAGTCTCTCAGCGCATCAACAAACTTAGGATACCTGCAACCAAAAGCAAAAACACGTCAAAAAACAGTAAAACATTTAGCAGCCAGGAAGCAAGCATGCAGAATTCACGAACCTTTCTCTAACAAGCCTGTCTAGCTTGTAAGTGGGTTCCCGAGTTCGAAGAAGCGTGGCAAGATCAGCGTTCTTCTTGGCCTCAGCTTTCTTTATCTTCTTCTGGTAAGCCCTTATGTCTCTAAACTTGTCCAGTAACGGTTCATGTTGAAGGAAAGCAACATCCTTGACATGATAATAAGTATGATTATTTCCCTTGAACTTCTTCTTTGGCTCTCGAGGGAATATACCTTTTAGAATGCTTAACCTCCTGGAGTTTTTTATCCAAATCAATCCTTACTTCAATTTTACAACCAAGATTTATTACATTTGATATTTATTTAAAAAAAGACATATTTACCTGAAAAAACCTAGCGTGACTTGGAGCTGCTTAATAGCTTGAGACCTGGTAACGTATCTGGCAGCGTTGCCTTCCTTCTTCTTACCCTGCAATGGAAAAATGGCTAAATTAATATAGGTAGATTGCTAACTGTCAAGTTTAGGGAGTTTAGTACTAACCGGAGGTCTGTAATGCTTTTTCCTTGCAACCATGGTTTTGCAGACAGACAAAGCTTGAGCTTAGCAGAGGCGACGAGGAGGAGGCTGCTGCTAGGGTTTTTGTGTGCGTAAATGAAAAGAAAAGTCTTGTCTAGGGTTTAATGGACTTCGGGTCTTATTAGGTAGAGTGAAGTGGGCCGGCTATGCTATAGTTTCTAGACCCACACCGTTAATTATATTATTGAGTCTCTCTTTAATTCATTTTTAGATGGAAAGTGAGTTTTTGAATATATATATATATAAAATACTTTTTGAAAGTGTGAAAATTTAAAAAATATCATATTATTTACTGATTATATTAAATTTGATTTTTAAACTTTTGATTGCTTTATATATTTTGTTTTAAATATTTTTTAAATTTAATTCTTTATAATTTAATTTTTATATTAACTTTGGTCCTCATTTTTATAATTATTATTGGCTTTTCTCTTATCATTTTTAATAGAAATGTTTTGTCTATCAAATTTGATCTTTATTTTTTTAATTGTTACTTATTTTATTTGAAATAATTTATAAAATGATAATTATTATTATTATTATTATTATTTCTTCATCTTTCAATTTTTTTATGTATTAGATTTGATATCTATTATTTTAATTATTATTTATTTTATTTAAGATAATTTATAAAATTATTTTATTTTCAATTTCATTCTCATTTAATTTTTAAATTTATAAGATTTGTTTCTCATTATTTTAACTTGAAAAAAATAAAACATTAATAATTTATTTTCAACTTATTTTCCATGACATAATTAAATATTAGAAAGTATTTTCCAACTTATTTTCCATTACACTACCAAAAATTGAAAAATAATTCACTTTTTTAGAATTCATTTTCCAAAAAAAAACTAATTTTCAATAAACAAACAGGGCCTTATCCAAATTCAAATAAATTATAATTAACTCTGATATATATTGGATTATATATCCCAGATCAATCAAGATATTATTATTAAAATCACAAATTAATTTTTTTATTAAGGATAACATAATCTAAAATTTAAAAAAAAATTCATATTTATGTGCTTGATTTTAATCTTTTAATATTTAATATTATATGAAGTTATTTTTATATAAGTATTTATATTATTCTATCTTTCTCATAATTTGTTAATATGTCACAGTTAACAAGAAGATTATAAAACTTAATTAGTCTTTTTTCAAGTTTTAAAAAATAATAGAATTTATTAGTGCTGTATCATTTTTTAATTGATTAATTTTCAACATGTATCTTCCAATATTTTTCAAATTAATAATCACTTCTATAAAGAATATTATCAATTAAAAAAACAAGAAAAAAGGTGTTTTCGTATAAAAATCATCATATAGATCTTCATATAGTTAAAGATACATGGATTTATCAAATATTTTCTTAATGTTTTACATTATTGTATAAAGAAAAAGAAAGAAAGAACAAAATTTTCCTTAATTTTAGTATTTGGAGATAATTTTTCGTCATCATGTGTGAACCCCTGAGAAATGAAGGGAAAAAATAAAAAAAAATATTTTAGAATAATAAAATGGCTCTTAGAATTAGTGGAAAAGAAATTAATGAGGTGCTTTGAATAATGAAACAAGAAATTTGAAAAGTTAGCTTAAAAATCATTTATTAAACAATTTTATACTATCAAGTATAATTTTCAATCAAGTTGTTAGATAAAAATGCAATTTTACAAGAAGTCTTAAAGCATATTATTTTATAATGGGGTAAAATTTGAGAACAATCAGAATTCAGGAAAACGGCAAACAAAATAAAGATTGTAGAATAGAAGCAGAAGGTGCTTATTAAGGGAAAAATGTTCTTTTTGGCTTAAGACATGTTTGGAATTGTATTTCAAAAGTATTTTAAAAAAAAATTAAATTTTTTCTTTGAATTAATATGTTTTTGATATTTTAAAATCATTTTGATATGCTGTCTTCAAAAATAATTTTTTAAAAATAAAAAAACAATATTGACATACTTTTTTGAATGAAAAACATTTTTAAAAGCAATCGTAATCATACTCTTAAAACGCTCTTAAAAATAAAACAACTCAGCCTTTTCTTCGTTCTTATAGCTATGGTTCTAGAGAGAGAAAAAGATAAGGATAACAAAGAAAAGGAAGAGTAAATTAGCCAAAATACTAGAGAAAGAAGGCTTAGATTAGACAAAAATCAAATGTTAGAAAGTGTGAGACCCTAAACAACTTAGCAAGCAAAGAATTAAGAGGGAAATAAGTGGGGGGGATTTTAGCAACAAACTCATGATAAGGAGGAAATGGTTGGAGGAATGGATAAATCTAAATAGGTTGATATTCGAAATTCGAATTAGTATTGGGTATGTAGTTTTAAGTTTAATTAAACAAGTTTGAATGAAAGAAAATTGAGATTTATGTATAATAGTTGAGTTTTTGAATTAGGGTTTTTGAGTATGATTTGAGGTAAATGTGGAAGTGTTGTCGTGGCATGTAAATAAGATGAAAAAACGTTGTGAATGGGGTAAAATATTGGATTATAAAAGGAAGAAAATGGTGTTATTCTTTAGTGCTAAATGGCTAGCCAACTTTGGCGAAAAATGATGGAATTATACATTAAGAATATGTTTGTAAATCATGTGAAATTACCGTGTATTGAGGTGTTTATATGGTGGATCTAAATGAATTTAATGAATTGGATTAGTGATTACTTGAAATAAATGCTTTTGAATTTTTAGACACGTAAAAAAATTGTTAGAATAATGTGAGTGGGGTTAATTGGTTCTTAGAAGGTTGTACTTAATAATGTTACTACCTATCTAACACAACAATGGTTGTTTAAATGGTGTAAAGTCAAATAAAAATGTTTAATGGTTTATCAATTCGTAACCAAAACTAGACATTTTTATCCTTTACATTCCAGAGGACATTTGAGCAAGAAAACAATAAAATTTGGGATGGATTATATCCAGGAATGTTAGCTTTTATAACGGGATTGGCCTAGCTCAATTTAAAATTCTAGAACTTCATATATAGGTGAAAATCTAGAGGAATGTTAGGCTGAAAACCATACTGACAATTTCAAGAAACTTTAATAATTGGTAGTTTAGGTGAATAATGGCAGAATTGGGTCTCCTTTCCTTCAATGAAGATGTAGTTTTGTATCTTAACTTTTGAAGAAATCAAGTCATATTCAAAATAGAATTTTACGATCTTGGTTATGATTTGAATGAAAAGTTCGTGAATGATTAAACAAAGCTGGCAAGAAATTGACTAGCTTCTTTTTTGTTTATAGGTTGTTCTTAATATAAGATCTAATTAGAAAGGGTAATAAAAATGAAATTTACACATGCAAGTGTGTGTATGTACACCCGTGTCATATAAAAGTATCTCTCTTGTTGAGTGAACTAAGAGGAAGGATTGAATAAAAAAAATGAAATTAAAAATTTATTAAAACTTGAATGATAAATAATGAAATCATTAAAAGAAATCAATATAGATTATTATTATGTGGAATTTGCATTGAATAAAAAATAATGTAATATATATGTTTATATAGAAGAGACCACAGGAGTTGTACTACGACAATAGGATAGTATTGGTAAAGCATCGATTGCATGTAGGTACTCTACCTTTTCTTATTAATTTGGTAAAAAATTATTATATTTTTATGCAAAAAAGATAGTATGTGCATAATGTTACGAACGAAGAAAATCATAAAAAAAAAAGAAAGAAAGAAAGGAATGATTGATAAGTAATTTAGTTATGTATATTGTTTTTTATTTAGGAAAAAATAGAAAATTGGAAACCATGTTCAATAAAACCTATTTTCTAGGATATTTACATAGACAAATATTTTTTTTATTATATTAAGGATGTTCTTCATTTTTTATTTATTATTTTTAGAGAAATACTATAAAGAAAGCTAAATGGTGTGAGAATTTCACTATAACTCTAAACATATATTATTATGGATTGTGATTATCTTTCAAATAAAACTCATCAATTAACAATTTAATGAGATATTTAATATTACATACCAAACATATACTATTAATTTCATGTTCAATTGTAATATCTTGAAAGAAACTATACACCATTAATTCACAAACAAATTCTCTAAAGATATCCACTTATTTTTGTTCTATGAAATTATAATAAATGAAAATTAAATCTATAATAATGCATGAAAAATAAAAAAATAATTTTTTTTACATAGCAGACTTAAAATTTAGAAGTATGAATTTTACTCGTAGTTTATATATATATGTATGTACTATTTTTTATATCTAATTATGTATATATATTGATTAATTTAATTGAAAAATGATTATGTAAAATGAATTTATAAACTAATTCATGCTTTAAAGATGTTGAAAAAACATAAATATGTAAAATCTTATTGGATAACACTATATTTTACAGATGGATACTTCATGTCAAGAAAGGTGACCATTTCTCTATTGTTTTACATCTTATATTTTTGCATGCTTATAAACTAAATATCTCTTGTTCACTTGTTTAATCATCTAATGTATTTTGAACAACATTTTTAAGTCTTTAGCTTAATTTATAATTCTTTGTGAAAACTAGATATTTTTAGGGAATAATATCAAAATTCTTCTAAATTAATGAAATCTCCTATTTTTAGGGACTAATATCAAAATTTTGTGAAAATTTTAAAAATGATAGAATTTTCTATTTTAAAAAATTAACATCAATTTTTTTTTGTTAAAATCCATAAATCAATGAAATTTCTTATTCATAGGAAATAATGTAAAAAAATTTCTTTTCAATAGTCAAAATCTATAAGATTTTCTAATTTTAGGGATTAACATCAAATTTATTAACTAGTCTTATATTCATAGAGATTGATATCATTTTTGAAAAATAAATTAAAATAAATTGTGAATAAGTTTATAAATAAATTTTGACAATTAATAACATGCGTAGAATAAATTTTAAAAGAAAACATATAGTAAAAATAATTTTTTATTTGAAAGGACATGAGCAAGAATGGTGTCTACCTTCCTTAAGTATATCAAACATCTTACATAAGTCTCTTAGACCACTACTTAATTTAGGATTCCTAGTTTACTTTATTTACTAGGTGTTAACTTTATTTTCATTTATTTTCC